GGCGGTTTTCGGCCGTTCTCTGTCTCCAGGGGCCCTCGCCGGGTCTCGGGACCGTCAAACATTGACTCAGGACGAAAAGCTGGTCCTGGGCATGTGGTTCAGACCTTCAGGGCCCACGCTCCGGGACCCACGCATATACATCACCACCGCGGGCTGGTTTTCTGTCATGGGAGTTGATCGGATTATTGTTTCGGCGGTGGGTTGCAGGGTGCGTCAAATCCTCGCGGTAATGAGATGTCGCGTGTGCAGCGTCATTTGGGCACGCAGTTGCATGCGCAAAATACAGCACATTTACGTGGTGTATTTCGGGGTGGTGTATAACATTCTCTGGGGGTCTACCCTTTCTATACACTACCACCGTGCTGCCACAGGGTGCTTGGGAGCAATACTTCGCGACGTGATGCGTCCGCCATCTGCGCACATGACCGCGTGGCAAATACTCGCACTTGGCGGGGGCAGACAGTGGCACCCCTGTCAGGGCGGTCGCGCGCAGGATTTGTTTTTTCCTATGGCCGCCTGGTGGTGGTGTATATATTGGGGTGCCACACACGCAGCGAAAATTTCGCATCGAACGAGCAGCCAGATGTTTGGGTAAGAGTGACCCTTCGCCGGAGTGATCTCTGGTGCGGGCTCACCGGGGCCCCCCGATCGCTGAGCGAGATGCGGTACTAGCTGCTTGCGCGCTCGGATTTGGCCACCCTGCGCCATTTTCATCCGCGCACCATAGGGCACTCTTGCCTAGGGTCACTCTGGCGTGTAGCCGATCCAGGAGGTGCTCGGGGGTTCGTAGAGGGCGGGTTCTCCCAAGGTGGGGCTAGGGAGGAACATGCCCAGCTGGATCGCCCTGTTCCTTCTTGCGCGGGCCGTTGTTTTAGCGATTCTCCTCTGACTCCACCTCCGCCCCTACCCCTACCCCGCCTTTTACGCCTCCCCGAGATACCCGCCAGGAAGGAGAGGGGCCCGGAGGGAAACGGGCCTGGAGGTTTGTCACCGCTTTTCCGCCTTCCGGGGCCCTCCACGGCCACGGGCCCTGGGAGACCTGGGGCCGTCGGAGAACGGCTCGTAATGAAGACGTGGCCCCGGGAGGAGGCCCCGGGAACCCAGGACCCAGTGCCCGCAGGACCCGTTCCTTCATGGCAAAAGGATCAGCCCTCCAGGAGCTGCGCACTTTTGTTGTTAGTTCAGGGTTTCTCCAGAGGGGGAGTGGTACACAGACACAACGAATCGTCGATCCCCCGAAAAATTTAAGAAAATATTGGAAGTGGGGGGGATGACAAGAATCCAGAAAATATAGAACATCTGGGGATTTGTGTCTATTTGTCTGTGCGTCTCTGGGCCTGCTCTCGGTGGGCCTGGGTCCTGCTGGTGCACAAGTCCCGCTGGAGCCAGGGGGCTCCACCTGGTGGGCCTCCAACCGCACCTGGCATTGCTCGGACGTGTGCATATGTTCTCGGCGAGGACCATCGAGGAGCATCCTGGATCGTCGAGCCCCAAAAGAAAGCACGCACGAGACCGAAAAATGCACGGGGAAAAAACGTCCGAGCGACGGCAAACCACACTCATGGCGATGAAGAATTGCCAGGGGGGGTCCGTCACGCAGCAGCGCCCTGGGCGATGATCAATCAAATGGGTTCTGGGCCTGCTCGTGGGCGTCGTCGTCGTCTTCGTCGTTCGTCCTTGTCGTCGTTGTCGTCTTTCTCACCGAGATCTCTCCTGTGCCATGTTTTCTCGTTCTTGCTGAGACTATGTGATCGTCCTCTTCAAAATTTCCCCAACTGCAGAAACTATTTCAATGTTTGCCGTCGTGCACCCCACACAGTAAGCTATGTAGTGCAAGCTATGTCGTGCAAGCTATGAAGTGTAAGCTTGTAAGCTATGTGGTGCAGTTCGTTTTTGCCAAGTCATGAGTTGTCAACTCCTGTGCTCGCGCAATCATCCTACACTCCCACCCCCGGCTTGGTTTGCAAAACCCATGCGGCGGCGATTGAGACGACTGCTTGGCTATGGCTCGCGCATTTCTGCGGCCGCGCTAGCGCGCGCAAGCTCGCGCGCAGAGCGGGCAGCTGTTTTTGCACAGCCGATGCGGCCACGATGGCGCTTACCGGTGGTAACGTCCCAGCGCGTGTCAAAGACCGCGCTGGCACGCGGGCACTTCACAGCGGGTCGGTGGCTCGGGCGGGCGCTCGACAAAAGCAGCAACGACGATGATAGTAGCGATGGTAGTGGCGATGGTGACGAGTACGACGGCACGTCCAATGACGGCGCTGATGTTAGTAACGCGTGATGCGGCGGCGTTGATCAGTGCGATGGTGAGGAAGTTCGTGCTCTCGGAAGTCCAAGAGCTCTGGTAAAGTTTTTGTTGAACAGCTTTTTGTTTTTCATGTCTGCGTTGCTGAAAAACTCAATTGTTAAGATGCTTCGGCAACCGATAGATCTGAACAGATTTCGATACGCTCCTGTGACGGCGCGCGCGTGTGGCCCGCATGTTGCATATTGTTATTTGAAACCGGTTCGTGCGCTGGGCGCGTGCTGGACCAACGCGGATGCAACACGTGGTGAAATTAGAATGTGGGTTCTGGGCGAACTTGCCAAACGCATATGTTTTTTGTCGCACGATTTCAGACAATGCGCGTGGACAGGGATATTGCAAGACTTGTGACGGAAGACCAGCGAATATTATGTCTTTATGTTGTCATCTTTGCAACCGTGGTGTGTTTGGTCGGATTTCGACATGTGCGCGCGCGTGTGGACTTTTGCGATCATGGTTTTATTGAGGGGGATGAAGGGGTGGGTGGGTGGGCGATGCCTGTTTGGCTGGAATTGTATGGAATGGCATGGCAAATGAGCTATGAAGCAGGATCACATGTAATCTGCAGTGTCTCAAGGGCTGCCCGTAAGTTGGGGGGGAGATGGTGGCATTTTTTCTGGAGAGGAGAACATACGTGATGCAAGCTCGAGGCGGCAACGAAGCGGCAGAGGGCCACAACGTGGCGAAGCCTCGCCCGACCCACCCGGCGAACTGGCGGCAACGCAAAATATCCTCCCCAGACTCATCCACTTCTCAGGGAGTCTGGCAAGAACCCTTCAGTGCAAGCCGTTTTGTGGAAAAACCGTTCCCTCCCGTGATGTTCTCGTCACTGTCATCCCACGCTTTGCTCCCCCTCTCGCCCCAGGGTCACGTTTCTCGGACCCACCGTGGTCACTCAGATGCTGCGCAGAGGTGGTTGTTGCCATGGAGGAAAGACCACGCATACACCTGCCCAGGAGGCTTCAGACCCTGGATGATTCCCTATCCGACGAGGGCAGCGGTGCGATCCATGGCCCATCCACGACTGGAGCTCTGCCGGCTTCCAGACCGTAGATTCCTCGGCGTCACCCCAACATACTTAAACTATATGTGCGTCGCCGCCCCAGGGGCGACGCGCGCACCGAGAAATCTGATAGTACATGCGTCGTGGCGGGCGCTTCCTGGCCACACCGCTCGGGAAACGATGTGCTACAAGATGGGTATACGATATGTTCAGGTCGGACGCGCGCCTCCAAGGAGAACATATAGTACAAGTATGTCCCTGTGCGTCCCAATTCCTTCCACACCGGTTCCTTACCCACCGCCCCCGCCGCAGTGCCCCCCCCCGGGCTGACCGCCCCTGCCGCAGCTGCTGGCCGCCGCGCCCTTCCTCGGCGCCCTCTGCGGGCGCCGCCCGCGGCGCCCACCGCGCCTCTGCGCGTTGTGCGCTCGCTCGGTGCGGCGCGCTCGCGCTCCCTGGCGACGCGCCGTGCCGCTGCCGCTCCTCCGCCCTCGACCCCGGCCGGCCTCGGCCTCGCCGTGCGCCCTCGCCCCGAGGCGGCCCTCCTCGCGGCGCGGCCGCCCTCGCCGACCACGCTGCGCAGCCGCGCCGGCGCCCGCGCCGGCGCCCCGGCGGGGGAGGCGGGGTGGCTGCGGGCGGAGGCTCCGGGGGAGCCAAGAGCCCCGATCGGAGAGGCGGGAGACTCGAGATCGCCGGAGCTGATCCTCGGCCTCCTTGTCCCCTCCTCCTTGCCCCCTCCTCCGCGGCCGTCCTGCGCTCCTCCACCTGCGCCCAGTGCCTGGCTCGGGCCGGACGAAAGGGAGGGACTGGGAAAGGGGGGGTTACGAAATTTGCTGCGTGCAGCTGGTTTCGGCCCACCGGGGTGCCCATTCCTCGATACATAGCCGCCTCTGGCGCTGGGAGGCGCTGGGAAAATCAGCTACGTGAGCTGATTCTCAAGCCACCCCTTTGCTGTCCCCCCTTTTCGCCCGGCCCGACTGGCGTGGCCCGTCGGCTCTCGAGATCCTTCGGGGCCTTCGCAGATCGAGCTGGCCCGAGAAGTGCCGCAGAAGAGCGGGTTCTATAGGGCTCTGGCCGTGGTTTCCACTTCACGATTTTTTTTTCCGCGACGCCTGATCGGATACCATCGATACGCTGCAATGCAGGATGACGATCAAGACTGCCCGGTGGGGGACCTGTCACGCAGCAGCGCCCCGGGCGAGGATTGACAAGTTGGGTTCCGGGCCTGCTCGTGGGCGTCGTTGTCGTCGCTGTTGAGATTCATTCGTCGTCCTCTCCAAAATCTTTCCCAGCGTTCGAGAACCGTGCTTTCAATCGCTCCCCCGTGTCTTCTCGCAGCCGTCATCTTACATTAAGCATGCACTCTCGGAGGTCCGCGCGGATTCCTTGGATCGGCACTGGGCACGTGGGAATGGGGGGTACGGCACTGCTCGAAGAAATCCGCGCGGACCTCCGAAGGTGTACGCTGACTTATGCCGTCCCCCCTCCTCCGGCGCCGCAAATTTTTTTTTGCGACGTCGGACCCTGGGGCCTCGACCACATCCCTGGGGGCCCGATCTTCGCCCCGAGCCGATTTTTCAAGGCCCCGGAGCCGGCAGGCAGCCCCCGAGACGCCGGAGTTCGACGAAACTCCAGCTGCCGCGATTTTGTTCGCGCCGCCCAGAGCTGAGACTTCCCTGCTCCTCCAGGAGGGGGCGCTCGCGGCCGCCGGAGGCGATGGCTGGCGGGCGCTGCTGCCGAACGCCTCCGTGGAGGCCGCCTCGGCCAGCACGCAGGCCGCGGCGGCCGCGGCGGCCGCCTCTCCGAACACGAGCGCCACCGCGCGCCGGCTCCGCGACGCGGGGCTCGCGAAGCTCTCGGCGTCGGAGCTCGGAGGAGGAGAAGATCCCGCTACCTCGAGCAGTGGCGAAGCGTCCCGGCTGGCCTGTCGCCGAGCGCGTTCCACTACTCGCAAAGTGCCTATTCGTAAATGTCCGAAACAAATTGTTAAATGGGTCTTCCCCTTTATGTAATTTATCGTAAATCCTCCGCAGCGGATCCAGGCCATTTGCGAGTAGTTGAGTTGCGAGTAGTGGAACGCGCTTGTCCGTGTAGGCCCACCGAAGAACCTTGTAGACCTGTAGTGGCTTGCACGAAATGTTCTTGGAACGTTTCTGGCTGGGACTGTCTTGTTTTGACGCACCAGCTGCATGTTCGAAGTGTATTGTCTTGTTCTGAGAACATACCCAGGGTCTACGAACATGTCGTGGTAGGCTTACAGGAATGCCGGGACGGTCGGTCCCTGCTCAGGCTACCGCTGCCCGTCCCCAGATCTCCGACGATCTGTCTTTCAGCCCCGGTGTCTCTTCGATCTCGGCCTCCGGGCCTATCGTGGGGCTCCGCGACAGTCAACCACGGGCCCGCGACGAGAGTTTGCCCCCGACGAAAACGGGGTCGGGGCCTCGGGGGCCGAGGACTTAAACATTCAAATGATCGCAAGATGTTTGGGGACTGCTGCCCGTCCTTCGTCGTCACAGCTGGATTCGCATCGAACTCCAAGTCAGAGCGCACCCCAGGAGAGGTCCAGGGAGCAGCGGTAGCGGCATCTTTTTGCTTCGCCAGGAGTGCTCGGAGGCCCACTGGTGCCTGGCGGCGCGCACCAGGGGGTGGCGCGAGGGGGGTTGGCCTGCCTGGGGGCATGCTGGAAGTCGGGGGCCTTCTCAGAAAGGCCCCGGATGGCATACTCAAGAAGGCTCCTCGGAGGCCAGGAGTGCTTCCGAGACCCCCCCCTTGCCTTCTCAGAAAAGGCCCCCACGTCTTCTTGGAAGACCGCTCCCTCTCGCGCCACCCTCCTTCCAGAGTCCACTTCGACCGATCGATTCGATCCGATGTCGATTATGGCCAGCCCGATCCGATTCGTTTCCGATATTCTGACGATCCGACGCGGCCCGATGCTTCTTGCACCGCACTGTTCTGCATCTTGGCCCAGCCGATGCGATTCGATTCCGACCCCATGCCGATGCAGCCCGCTCCGGCGCGCATCTCGATTCGGTCCGGTGCTCCGATTCTATGTTGCCCTGCGTTGAAACGCAACACGTACTACCGTATTCCAAACGTCCGTGTCAACACGCTGCGTGTTGGCTCGGCACGCGTTGGTCAACCTTCTGGCGAACGTATCGCGCCAGACCTACGTTTTCGGTCTACGGGGTGAGCTCCGTGTCAGCACGTCACGTGCTGGATGCTGCGTGTCGGGGCAGTGATGCTGACTGATCCTGCCTGGTGTGCTCTGGGCCAGGTACTTCGCCAGCGCGCTGGAGCTGCTGATGGTGGGTAGCGGCGGGCTCGCGGAGCGGGACGTGGAGGTGCGCGGCCTCCTCGGCCACCAGGGCTTCGCGCTGGTCTGCGACGAGAAGTTCCGGGAGGGGGCCGCGTTGCTCGAGCACCACATACGGAGCGAAGGCTCCCGCCGCCAGGGCGGACCAACCTGGGGCAGCGCCCAGGGTGGGGGCTTCACCACTTGTCGTGTGCGATGCGCACATCGGTATCCGCGGCCTCGCGGGCCAGGCCCCCGTGTCGCGACCTCTCGGTTACGGGGACGCTTTTTTGCAGATGCCCCGCGCGGAAAGTACCCGTGCGACCTCGTATCCGCGGGATCGCGGCCCAGAATGCAGACCGCGAGCGCGTGAATATGGATACATTCGCCGCTCGTGGAGGGTCACAGCGTCCTCCTGGAAATCGAGGATCGAGGATCGAGGATCGAAGAGCAGGAGGAGGGAGGATCGATGATCGAGCATGTTTTGAGCGTTTTGGGGTGTCTCTGGGAGTCCCGGGGGCGTCTGGGGGGGCACAGACGTTCGGCGCATTTGGCGGCGAAACCCGAACCCTACCCTCGCTGAGCAACGATTCAGGCAACTCGATGGGCGGCGGGGGTAGGGTTAGGAGTTCGCTGGACACGTGTTGACTTCCGAACTCTGCCCCCGCCTCCCGTCGACTCAGGAGAATCGATGGTTGGTGGGGGTGGGGTTCGGATGTCGCCACCTGCGCATCTCGCCCTCGGCGGAAGGCAGCGGAAGGCCGGCGGGAGTACCACGGCCAGCGGGTCCGCCGGCGGAAGGTCGGTGGAAGGTCGCCGGCGCCCATGGGGGCAGTCGGGCCGGACGCAAGGGGGGGAGCTGGGAAAGGGGGGGGTACGAAATTTGCTGCATGCAGCTGGTTTCGGCCTCACCGAGGGGCCCATTCCTCGATACATAGCCGCCTCCGGCGCCGGGAGGCGCCGGGAAAACCAGTTACGTGAGCTGATTCGCACCCCCCCCTTTGCTATCCCCCCTTCGCCCGACCCGAGGCAGGCGTCTCAGACGGCGAAACTATCATCTTACACTGTTCTTCGCCCCCTAAGAGACGTTGTCATTTTGCTGATCCAGGGGTTCCAGAACCGGCCATGCGGCTCCGGGGCACGCCTCCAGGAGCCGTGGGCCTTCTCTTCTGGCGCTGTCGTATCTTTTCTGTGTCGTCGGCTCCAAAACCTTCGACAACGCCCTGCGGCGTGGCATCGCTTGGACGTGTGTGCATGTTTTCGGCGAGGACCATCGAGGAGCACCTCACGCGAAACCGAACAATGCACGGGGAATGGACGTCCGAGCGATGGCGAGGCGGGGCCAGACTCGTCCCGAGTTGTTTTTTGACGGTCCCAGAGCCGGGACACGGCCTCCAGAGCCCGGAGAGGGCGACATGCTGCCCGACACGACTTTTTTGGTGCCGGCGATCGACGCTCGATCCATACCCCTGCTGCCGCCCCCCCCCCCACTCTGGGCCCCAGCGGGAGCAGGGCACGTCGGGGGCCGAATGCGAACCCTACCCCTACCCCCCACGATTTTTGAGGGGGAGGGTGGGGTTCACTTCGCTCGGGAGCTCCCGAACGAAGTGAACCCCTCCCTCACCCTCAGAAATCGTGGGGGTAGGGGTAGGGCTCGCTTGTGGTCCCCCAGCACGGATACGAACTCGGGCCGAAAGGCCAGGTTTTGTGATCCATGCCGCCTCTCTGGCCCCTTGTCGGGCTTGGGCGTGAGCAGCGGCATGAAAACGATAACGGGCGTCGATCGCCCATTTCGCGTCGCCCAGATCTGATGCGATGTCGGCGTCTGCTGGCGGCGCGCAGGCCTCACCGAGGGAACCGCGCACCTTCTGAACGCTCTCGGCTTCGCGCGGTTCCGCATGGGAGACTACGAGCGGGCCGAGCTCGCCTTTGAGGCGGGCTCCCGGGCGGAGCCGCAGAACCCCATCATGTGGAACAACCTGGCGGCCGTCAAGATGATGCGTGGCAGGATCGGCCCTCCGAAATGGCAGCAGGCAGCCAGTGTCGGCCCTCGCTGCGTTGCCTGCGTCGTAGTGCAAAGCTTCGGTGGACAAGCCCACGTTGGCTCTGACGCACGTTCGAAGTCTCATCGAGTCTTTCCTGCAGCGCGTGACAACCATGATTTTTGGAGTGGATCCACCCGTGGCGACGAGGAGGCCCCCCCAACAGAACGAGGATGATGACGAGGAGGAGGAGGAGGAGGAGGAGGAGGAGGAGGAGGAGGAGGAGGAGGAGGAGGAGGAGGAGGAGGACGAGGACGAGGACGAGGACGAGGACCAGGACGGCGGCGGCAGCGACAGCGACAGCGACGGTGACGGCGACGGCGACAACCACGAGCATGACCGCGATGTCCCCCCAGGAAGCGCAAAGGGGGCAAACCGCCTCCAATTGTGCTCTCCTGTTCCCGCTCCGTCCCCAAACCTCGGACGTCACGACTGTTTCGCGACGTGGGCTCCCCGACCCCCCCCCCTCCGACACCGGCTTCTCACATTCCCCGGGGCGTTTATTCTAATGCGGGGCCCGACGCGGGCCTGCGGAGGCACAGAAGTATGGAACGAATCGGCGGTCGCGACCCTTCCATGACGCCGTCCGGGAAAGCTCTCGGCGAGGCGCAGCCGCCGGAAGTATCGGCAACTGGAGCGCCGCCGAGAACCGACGAGAGCCGCCGAAAACATCGAGCCTCCCGCCGCCCTCCTCCTCCTCCTCCTCCTCCTCCTCCTCCTCCTCTTCCTCCTCCTCCTCCTCCTCCTCCTCCTCCTCCTCCTCCTGGGGGTGCTTCCGGCGAGGCTGTGGGACCTCTCGGACCCCCTCCCGGCCTCCAAGCAGGCCGCCCCCCTCGCGCCACCCCCTCGTGCGTGCACGCGCGGCCAAGCTCCCCCCTTCTCGAGGTGAGAAAGGTGGAGCGAGCACGGGGAAGGCGATGGGAGGGGTCGGGTGGGAGGAGGAAGGCAGGTGGAGGAGGAGGAGGAGGATGATGATGATGATGATGATGCTGATGCTGATGCTGATGCTGATGCTGATGCTGATGCTGTTGATGATGCTGATGATGCTGATTATGATGATGATGAGGATGATGACGATGAGGATGATGATGATGATGCTGATCATGATGATGCTGATGATGATGCTGATGATGATGATTATGATGCTGCTGCTGATGATGATTCTGCTGCTGATGATGATGAGGTTGTTGTTGTTGATGATGATGATGCTGCTGATGATGATGCTGCTGATGATGATGACGATGATGATGACGATGATGATGATGATGCTGATGCTGATGCTGATGATGATCATGATGATGATGCTGATGATGGTGTTGCTGATGATGATGCTGATGAGGATGATGACGATGATGATGCTGATGATGATGCTGACGATGATGCTTATGATGATGATGCTGATGATGATGATGCTGTTGATGATGATGATGATGATGATGATGATGATGATGATGATGATGATGATGATGATGATGATGATGATGAGAATGAGGATGAGGATGAGGATGAGGATGAGGATGATG